GTACGTGGTGTATGCAGTTGTAAATGTATCATGGTCTTTGCTACAGGATGCAGTTCTTGTGCATTTATTAAATTTTTGAGCACTTTTTTCTTTTCTTTCTTTTTATTTGAATTTTTACACTTACATGTTTGTGCCATCCTTTGAATTCGAAATTCTAAGCGCTTAATTTTTTGCCGCAAATTCAAATTCTCAATTTTCAATGCTTTGTTTTTTGCTTTTAGATCACTTTTTTCTTTTATTATTTCTTGCAATGCTATCATCTTTGCATTCAATATTTCTTTCATTGCTTTTACATTCAATATCTTGATGTATGAGTGTTTCCAAATGCATCCATTCCATTACGTTTTCTTCTTCCGCAGATATTTCGAAATTTAAAGCTGCAGGCCTGTATGTCCATAAAGCACACTCTTCAGATATTTGTTCCTCCATTATTAGATTTTTATCGTTGGGTGAAAGTGCTTCTGTAATATATCTTTGCATTTCACCTACTTCAACATTTTCGTTTGCAGAATTTGAGCCAGCATTTTCATACGCAATTGGTATAGCATCCTTTCTTAATCGTACTTTTGTTGCGTTTGTAAATGTCATAACGAAATGATCTTCACATATTCCTAATTTTCTAAGGATATTGGCAGACAATTTTTTCCAACTTTGTATTTCCTGTAACAAAAATATAACTCATTATGAAAATTACGATTACATGTGTTACGTCCAGAGGAGCTCACGATTCTTTTCTTTCCCTTATCTGGCGCACATGTGCACGACTTCCGAAAATCGTTAATGATAGTTAAATTGAAGTAGGATTCTCAGTAAATACTCCAGAATAACAATCAGATATTCCCGGACTGATAAAAGTAGCATCTGGCTAAATAAGGCGGCAGTCAGTCAGACGAATTTGATATTTTCTGATCACTAAAAAAAAACTCACAAAATTCAAACAAGCTACAGAAAATAAAGAAAACTATTTACAAAACGCGAGTGACCGGATGTCGCACCCGTTTTATCTCAAGGGGGTAGTAAAAGTCATCCCTTTATCTCCAACAGACGCATCTTATAAAGCATAAATTACCACTACCTCCGATACTGAGAATCCTAAGTCCCCCGTTTTGGAAGATGCTCTCCTATTCGCGGACAAATGTAATAAAATTCTGATTTGTTGCATTTGTTTTAACATGTTCATAAGTAGGGACAGGAAGGAGACCACGGAAATCTAACGAGGGTTTCTATTCTCTTCCCTTATTCCTCACGCTGGGAGAGGGTAATCCAAAACGATATATAAGCGCGAACTTTGGACAAATCGACACAGACATACATCCATTTTTTTCTTCGCTTACTAGTTCACCTATTTACGTATTTGCTCAGTTACATACTTATATAGTTGTTCGGTTACATACTTGCTTATCAAGTCAGTGCAAAAATCTTAACCAAGGAGGTCCGGCAGCAACCACCCTCTTCAACAACTATATCCAGAATCAATTCAGCGCTAATATCTCGCTATCCTCAACGCCAAGGGGGCCCAGCAATAATTTGTATCGATTTGTGCACGCTTTTCAAATAGTAAGTCTTATCTTTTATTTATTAAGTTCCTCTCCCCCCATCTTCCTTTATTGATAATAATCGCTTCTCTAGTGGAACCTTCGAGGAGATCCGCTAGGGCTCACGCAAAGCGCCTCCGATACCGACGCAATCGTCGTACCTGCCGATTACTGGCTCGGGCTGTCGCTGACCCCTCTTTCACTCTAAATCTAAACGATATAAACACGAATCTTCCCATCACCCGAATTTTTTTGAATTTCCAAGGAAGTACGCGAGACTCCTCGTATCTGTCCAACAACCTTCTCCCCCTAATTACTCCCCGTATCTGTCTTCGGGAACTCTTCCTCCCAGCTATTCCCCAGTGTACGACACGCAACCTGATTTTCCGCAGTTATCACCCTCTCCTTCTCTACCCCACTCGCCAGTCCCAGATCCTCATCTCTTGTCTCCTCCTTCTCTTTCTCCCCCTGTTTACTCCGACATCAATCTTAGTGATCGGATCGTCTCCTAAATTCTCAGCTCGACTTATCCTCCGTACTCTCACGCCATCCTCCCGGGTCAATTCACCTTGGGCTCTAGTCCTATTCATATTCCAACTCTCAAGGCCTTTCTCCGCACCGCCCCTTCTGACATTCCCATCCCTTGCTTTACTCCCTTCACCGGATATCCCATCGCTATTCCCGTAGAATTCTTCCGGGAAAGATATCGTCCAGATTCCGACTAACCTCACCCCGTCTCGCATACACACACACATACACACACAATCACGCTTAATGCACCCACACACATACAAACAATCACACTTAATATTGTACTAGAGCCGTAACCAAAATGTTTATGTAAGTTTTTATCTCTTTTATAATGTACAATAAATTTAATTAATTTTATTTCTTTCGAATCTAACTTAATCAATTCCCCCTCATCACCCACGCTCCTGAATCGCACTTGGTCCCGTCCCGGGTAAAAAGGATTAAGTTCCTTTACCAAAAAGGGGACCGTCGAGCGGGCATTCGGACCAAAAATAGAGTAAAATCGATCTTTGTGGTCGTTGACCTATCTTTGGCTCTCCCGCAAGCTCGCTCGACCCGAGACACTTGCCCTTAAGGCACCTGTTCTCGGGATACAAGTGTTACCCTTCCTTCGGCCCATCCTTCCTCGGGCCTGGACGTAACACATGCTTACTTCAAGCTGACATAGCAATTGGTATACCGAGTGTTTGGTAAAAAAAATTTTCTATGTCAGGCGTGTCGGTTATAATCAATTCGATAAAGCGCTTGTGACGACGCTGTCGCCACTATATAGTTGTTTATACTATTGTTTATTAGTTTCTTTGTTTATTAGTTTATTAGTTTCTTTATTTGTTCCTGACTGATACTGTTGTCCATTTGTTCTTTATCGATTTATTGTTTATGAGTTTGTAAAATAAAGACGTTGATGGTAACAGTTCTCCGCGAGTAAATTCCTGACCCTGTAACCCGACGCCTCTGGCACCCACCCGCGATTCCGCCTATGGGCACCCCCACCTAATCTCACTCCATCCTCGGCGCACGCAAGCGTGGGGGATCCTCGAGCGGTATATAAGCCGGCTCGTGCGACATACCTATTCCTCTCCAGTTTCCGACCTGATCCGAACCTCTGAGAATAACCGGTGTCTCGAATCCTAACCGTTCTCACCGACGGAGACGGGTGTGACCTCTCCGCCGCCTGGGTTTGCCCGGCACTCGGCTTCCGCGCACCACCGTACGGTGAACTCCGCGATCGCGACGCGCTCGCTGACCGAACCCGCGACCGACCGCCTAAGTTAAGCTACCTGTAGTCGTCCGTAGGCTAAGTTAGTAATATAAGTACTTGCGCACCGTCGTAGAATAAGCTCTCGCTATTAAGTTCTCGTACGATAAGTTCTCGTAGGATAACCTGTGATAAGTAATTGCCCAATAAAGACTGATTTCTAATAAAAGAGGACTCGCAAGCTTGACTCTCCTACCTACTCCCGAATCTTGGAACCGGCGAGCCAGTCCGTGGCGATCGGGATAGGCCGTAACGTTACACGCTACTTCGTAATAGCGCATAGCAGTGCACGTAAGATGTCTGCTTGTCACGGCGCTGACTCGAGTTCGAATCTCACTGCTGTCGTTTTTTTTTATTTTTATTTTATAAAATAATAAAATAACAAATAATATGTATTGAATTTGGGAACAGAAAAGGCAAAAAATTAATAAAATAATGACAATTATTGCATAAAAATATACCTGTATTGCTTATCCATGTATTGCATCTTGTATCCTTCTGCATTGGAAATCGGAATTTCCGTTTTCCATGCGAAAATCTCCCATTCTTACACTCTTTGTACACGCACTTATCATAATAACTATCTACAGGGCACTGACTCGACATGATTGTTTATTATGCAAAACAAAAAAATACAAAAAAATAAAATTGACACTTGCCCTTAAGGCATCTGTTCTCGGGATACAAGTGTTACGCCCTTCCTTCGGCCCATCCTTCCTCGGGCCTGGACGTAACATACGTAAATTTTGAGGGCTCGTCCGGGATAGATATGTGCGATTCGGGGGGAAGGAAACGGGGATGAGTGACGGGACTCGAGGTAAAGCCGATAAAAAGGAAGTAAAAAAATTTTATAAACTCGCTTTGGAAGAGAAAAAATCTAAACCTAAAATTGAAATTACATCATCTACTCCTGGTTTACCTTATACATCTACTCCAAAAAGAATTGTAGGGTCTATACCAAGACATTTTGATCTTTCTTTAGAGAACACAGACACAAGCATAAACAATACTATTCTAATAGCCCGAGCCAAACTCTGACAATTCTAGTGATATAACTTGCCAAGAATATTTTACACTTACTAATCTACTTTTATTTATAAAGCAGAAAAAGATTTTGATAGGTCCGAAACCATGACTCACCAAAACTCATTTGCTACCTTAAAATACGCGGTTGAAACCGTTCCTTTTTTCGATGGTAAAAACATTCCGCTCAGTTATTTTATTGAAGGATGTGAGGAAGCTAAATCCATGTTACCTAAAGAAGCTGAAGCACAATTTACCAAAGTTATAAGAACCCGAATAGTCGGCGAAGCCCGACGAACCATCCAAGATCAAGATTTTGACACAGTATCTAATTTAACTTCATATCTAAAACAAATTTACGGACCTTCTAAAAACATATATATACTACAAGGAGAATTAGGACGCGTCTATCAAAAAAATGAAGAAGATGTAGTCACATATGCAAATAGAGTAAAATTATTAGGAAAACAGATTTTAGAAGCATACCGCAGTACTAGTCGTTCTTTACCTGACCAAAATATAAAAGCATCATTAGAAGGAGACATGTGCAAATGTTTTATACGAGGACTCAAACCCGAAATAGAACAGAGAATCGCGAGAGACTTAGATGTGCATGGAACCGTCGCTGACGTCTTAAGGATAGAAAGAGAGCAATGACAGATTTACGACAGGGACAAGACACTAACTCAGATCAATACAAGCCGCGAATGCGAGAAACTTGTCAGAGCTGTTATAAAGAAGGACACGTGGCTAGTAACTGCAGGAAGCTCACACAATCATCCTCTTTAGGTCAAATTCCAGGAGCCTTAGGAACCGAAATTCTGGTTTGTCAGATTTGTAAGAAACGCGGACATAGTGCAGATAAATGTCGCTTGCGCGATCCTCAATATCGCCAACCAGTAAATGTAATCCAGCAACGAATTATAACTTGTCAATTATGTTCTAAAAACGGACACGACGCGAAACTATGTCGTCAAAATAACAACAATAATAAAGCCAACAAGACCTCTGTAATTTGTCAATGGTGCAATAAACCTGGTCATCCCGCTAATAATTGTTGGAAGAAACAAAACGAACCGCAATTCAACAAATAAATCTACCGTTACTTGTCAAATTTGCAATAAAATCGGACACGTCGCTAAGGATTGCCGCACTAGAACGGATTCAACACCTATAACCAACTCTTTTTGTCGATATTGTAAGGAAGAAGGGCACCTTCTTGAAAACTGTCAATTACGGATCGCGAGTAATAATCGTCGGAAAGAGAAAGACCAGGGAAACTACAATGGGCCCTCGACGTTGGGTGTGCGACAGGGGCCCGAGCTTCACACCCGTCCACTCAGCAGGATGCCAAATAAATCAACGAAACCCAGATGTACGACCTGTAACAGTGACCTCGCTAAAGACAGTCGCGTGCCTACTGTTCAGGTCCAGCTCACCAAAACATCCGCTCATATAACTCTCATGCTAGATACAGGATCCGGACTGAATATAATTAAAGAAAAATTCACACCTAAAAATATTAATATAAATTTTGATAATATTTTGAAATTAAATGGTATAAATAACTATCCTGTTTACACACTCGGAGAAATTATGTTAACACTTTTTGGAAAATCTGTATCTTTTCACATTGTATCCGATGACTTTCCGATTCCACAATCCGGAATACTTCGAAATGATTTCTTCAAGCAAACTTCTTCAAAAATAGATTACGCGGAGGGACATCTAGACATTTCTGGAATTAATGTGCCTTTCTTCTCCCCCGAAACGATTACAGTGCGACCAAGATCCGAGTCATTATTTTACGTAAGGATAGTCAATCCTGAGATAAAAATAGGATACATACCGAAGTTAAGGGTAGAGCACGGAATCTATCTAGGGGATACAATAGTGAAAAACGTTTCTGGAAAGGCTTATTTAAATATCATAAGCACTTTAGACGAAGAGATGGAAGTTCGTGTGCCAACATTATATTTAAAACCATTAGACGAATTATTCGATGATCATAATTCGAACATTGAAATATTCGACAAGGAGAAATCAACAAGATCATTGGAGGATTCCAGGAAAATCGATGAAACTCAAATTAATTTCAGAAATGAAGATGGTTTCACAATCAATGATAACATTATTCTTAATGAAGATGCTGAAAGCGGTAATAAAATCCAAAAAAGAAACAAAGACGAAACACTTGAAAATATAAAACAAAAAAGGATAAATCAAAATAAAGAAATCAAAATTAAAGGAAGCTTATCCAAATAAAAATTCTAGTTTAACAATCCCTGAAGAGAGATGTTACCAAATCTTTTCTGAAAATTTTAATAATCTAACCATCTTTGGAGGGGGAAATTACCAAATCTCTTTAGAAAAAAATAATTCTGGAATTTCGGAGGGAAGTTTCCAAACCTCGTCAGAAAATTTCAGCTCCGTCGATCGCAAAGAGGGAAATTACCAAACTTCTTTAGAAAACAATAATTCTGGAATTTCGGAGGGAAGTTTCCAAACACCGTCAGAAAATTCCAGCTCCGTCAATTGCAAGGAGGGAAGTTACCAAACCTCACTACGAAAATCGACACCTTATCCAAAAAGGGAAAGAAGTTCTTCGTCCGCTCTGGACCTTACATTTCTGAAGGATGGATTATTTACAGGAAAAAACGACAATAATGAATTAGAAACCTCCAATGTTATAATAAAAGACCTCATCCAAGAGGCTCAATAACATAATTCGAACATTAGAAAAATCGAAAATTCTCGAAAAATTAACCGCAAGAATAAGCCATCTTCGAAACTTTTTACGTCCTTATGTAATAAATCTCAAGAAATAATAGATAAATTTACGCGAAAACATAAGTCTAAATATCCACGCATCATGAGGATAGTGATTCTTTCACGTTCCGACAAGTCGCCAGCCATTTTTAAAACGTTTAATTTTAATTAATCGTACGTTGTATTTGGACGATAACAATTAATTTCTGCTTGCTCAAAGCTGAAGTTAGAAGGTGCTCGTTCTTTGATAGCTTTATACATTCTTAGTTGAATTTTAAATGCGAGTTAGACTGCATGTAGTGCGTCACATAGCGGTAAATGAAGGAACTAACGAGACGTTTCATACACGTTTTATGGAGCAATTTTTTGGCAATTTGACTTCAGCGAAATATGAGGATATGTTGAGGAATCGATCTTGCCTTAGTTAGCTGGATCACACACACAACAGATGCAAATCCGAGCGAGTAACCTCCATGTAGTACACCTTGGATAATGTTAATACCGGCGCTACTCTATCATTCAACCCTCATAACTCGCAAAGTACTTAATAAAAATGAACATTATTATAGTGTTTTGGAAAGCTCTTGAATTAAGCTATAAGAATATGCAATCAAATGTAGGGGGTGTCATTTAAAAAAGTCAATGTGACCTTGACCTGACCTTGACGACGCCATCCAAGGTCAAACTGATAGAATCAGTATATAGATCTTCTTAAACCCTACAACTTTTGTTGGAAACACTTTTCTGTAAAACGTATATTTTCCGAGATATTTAGGGGTTTCCACACTTTTGGTAGACCCTGTATACAGGGTGACCCATTTTAACTTAGGCAGTCAAATAACTCGAAAACCAAGTCCGAGAGAAAAAAATGTTTCAGACAAAAGTTGTATGGTTTCAAGGGGGACATAAGATGGTATCATTGATTTGACCTTGAAGAGTTATTTGAAGGTCACCTTCAATTTCTTAAATGGAACCTACATTTTCTCTTTACATATTCTTGTAGCTTATCTCGAGAGCTTTCCAAAACACTATAATTAAGTACCTTTTCGTTAAGTACTTTTTGAGTTATAAGGCTTGAAATCATTTCTTAATTTTACATAAATCATAAAATATCTTGTAAAATATTCATTTTTCGATTATCTTATATTACTACTTTTATGTACAAAATAATGAGAGGAATCAATTGGTGTAAAGAAAACACATAGTTGTTTCTAAGAAAAAATATGTAATTTGCAATTAACAATTCCATATTTTTTCTTAAAAACAACTGTATGTTTTCTTTACACCAATTCCTCTCATTATTTTGTACATAAAAGTATGAAGGTAAGATAATCGAAAAATGAATGGTTTACTAGATATTTTATGGTTTATGTAAAATTAAGAAATTATTTCAAGCCTTATAACTCAAAAAGTACTTAATAAAAAGGTACTTAATTATAGTGTTTCGGAAAGCTCTCGAGATAAGCTACAAGAATATGCAATGAAAAATAGGGATTCCCATTTAAGATTTCAAACTTGCCCCCCCTCCCCGCCCAGGGGGAGGGGTGGGGGGGCTGATTTTAACGTCATTATACGTCCCCCTCGAAATGACGAAATTTTGATTCTAACTATTTTTTCGTAGTGTGCTTATTTTTCGAGTTATTTGGCTGCCTAAGTTAAAATGGGTCACCCTGTATATATATAAAATAAGAAAAGTATTTTTTAAGGAAAAAAATTAGTAAGGATCCAGTAAACACAAAGCAAAAGTAACAACATCAATATAATTTCTCACTCAACAATATAACTGCAATATAACATACCTTGTACATAATAGTTCCATTGTTGAGTGAGAAATTATAACATTGATGTTATGTTACTGTTATTTTGTGTTTACTGGGGAAGATTAGTAAGAAAAAAATAAAGACGTTTTATTGCTCATATGATTGGAGTTGCTTTCTTAAAAGTTCAATTTCAAGTTGTTCTTTTTGCAATTGTGTGTTTAAAATTTTTATTTCTTTTTCAGATTTTGCACGCAGATCCTTTTTCATTAGCTCGACTAATTCGGCTTTAGATTGAACTAAATCGTAAAAACATTGATTGCGTCTTACAGCGCTTATTACAGGCATTCTTGTCTGTTTTCCTCGTTTTACAGTTTTTTTTTTATATTCAAACTTGCAGGATTTACATTTTGATTTTCCTTGGACGATGTTTCCATAATTGCCTCTACTTCACTATATGTAAGATTCGTATTTCTTTCATCAACGCACGAAACCGTCGTTGGAATCTGTAATTCAGTACTCTTCTCCGATTGTAGCATTGCCGGCGTCCAATCAATCCAATTTGTCGTTAAATCATCTATTTCGTTGAGTGTCTATGATTAATAAACATCATAATTAGTATTGCTATTGTGTAGTAATATATTTGGAACATCAAGAAAGTAATTTTGAAAATATTGACTAACAATCATCAATGATAAAATGATATTAAAAAAAAAAGAAATGCATTTAATCAAAACGCACGAAATATCGATCTACTAACACCAATAAGCATTATCAATAAGCGAGTACATAAAATAACACCCCTCCCCCAAGATTAAAATACAGAAACTATTTGCAATACATACTTCAACATCCATATACACATCGTCATTGTCGTTTGTATCCTCATCCACATTGATGTCATCTCCGCCTATAAAAAAAAATTTACGATTATTTCATATTTTTTAGATTCTGGTTCTATTTCGAAAAATAAATGCCAAGATATTTATACATTATACGATGTATATAATCTATCTATATATAATATTCTCTCAAACTATATAAAAAATAAATATACCTGCTACACAATCGCTGTCGAATGGATTCCGTAAACCTTCGATTGATGGTTCAATAACACTTTTTACTTTTTCAGCTATCGAGTCATCAGGGATAGTCATCTTTCCACCGCCTACACGTTATTATTAATTAATAATTGTATATGTTTATAGACAATATGCTTATATACAACATATACCTGTTGCGATAACTTTTTTACGTATTTCTGCAAAATGTTTCCGAGTCTTCTTTTTTAAATTATCCCAGCAACTTTTTAGCGACATCACATTTCGGTTTGCTTTTATGCATCTGCTATTAAATTCACGGCTTATGTCTAACCAGTATTTTTCTTTGATAGTTACACCATCAGTTTGCTTGTTTTCAATTATGTTTTTTTTCTTTTCGATAATTTCAGTTAATGTTATTTTTTCGTCTGTCGAAAAATTCGGTAATCGTTTTTTAGGATTATCCTTCACGGACAATTCTTTTTTATTCGACATTACACAATTATATTTAATCTTGCACAAAATTAT